TTTAATAGAAGCGAATAAAAACAACAGTAGATTTTTGTTTGGTACCGTCGCTAAACTCACAAACTGCCATAGCGCAATCGAGCCTAAAATTCCAAGCTCACTGAGCAGTGTCGACTTTCTCCACTTCTTTAATAATAAAATTACATCCATCCGTGACAAGCTGGAGGAGGTTTCTCCTGCTGTTAGTGGTGGACAGGTTGAAGCGGCATACGTGACTTCCCACTTAGACTCTTCAGTGGGCCTTAATAAATTCATGGCTGTGAGCCAAGCAGAGGTGATCTCTGTGGTCACATCCTCAAAAGCCTCAACTTGCATGTTAGACGCAGTCCCGACATGGCTCTTCAAAGACATACTTCCTTTGATAATTGAGCCTATCGTAAATATAATAAACGCATCCATACAATGTGGCTATGTCCCACAAGCTTTTAAAACCGCGGTAATCAAACCCCTTCTGAAGAAAACAAACCTGGACCCAGAAATACTTACAAACTACAGACCGATCTCAAACCTCACTTTTATATCTAAAATCCTGGAAAAACTTATAGCTGAGCAGCTCCGCTGCCACCTGCAGGAAAATGATATGTTTGAAGTCTTTCAATCAGGATTCAGAGCTCATCATAGCACTGAAACGGCACTAGTCAAAGTCACAAATGACTTACTACTAGCTGCCGATAATGGACAAGTGTCAGTGCTGGTCCTACTGGACCTTAGTGCTGCATTTGACACAATAGACCACAGCATTCTACTGCAGAGGCTAGAATGTGATATAGGTCTTAGAGGAACAGCCCTTGGCTGGTTTAAATCCTATTTATCAGATCGATATCACTTCGTCAATGTGAATCAGGACTCGTCGCCTTATTCTGGAGTGGAATTCGGTGTGCCGCAGGGTTCGGTACTCGGACCGATTCTTTTTACTCTCTACATGCTGCCACTGGGAAACATTATTAAAAAGCATGGAATTAATTTCCACTGCTATGCAGATGACACACAGCTTTATCTGTCGATGAAGCCTAATCAGACAGATCAGCTAGAAAAGCTCAGTGCCTGCATAAAGGACCTTAAAATGTGGATGACTCTTAACTTCCTACTTCTCAACCCGGAGAAGACAGAAGTGATCCTACTCGGTCCGAAGCGCCTGCGTGACTCCCTCACTAACCAGATGGTTACTCTCGATAATGTCAGTATAATACCCAGTAACACTGTGAGGAATCTTGGAGTCATTTTTGACCAAGAACTCTCCTTCAAGGCTTATATAAGCCAAGCAACTAAAACGGCGTACTTCCACTTACGGAACATCGCTAAAATTAGGAATTTCCTTCCTAAAAGTGACGCGGAAAAACTCATTCACGCGTTTGTCACCTCAAGGCTCGACTACTGTAACGCTTTACTGGCAGCGTGCCCTAAAGCCTCTTTGAAGAGCTTCCCAGCTCGTTCAGAATACAGCAGCTAGGATCTTAACAGGTACCAAAAGGAGGGAGCACATAACTCCGGTGTTAAAATCACTCCACTGGCTCCCTGTGGAGTACAGAATAAAGTTTAAAATCCTACTCTTAACATATAAAGCCATAAATGGCTTGGCTCCTTCTTATCTCCAAGACACGTTAGTGTCGTATCAACCAGGTCGAGCGTTGCGCTCACAAAACGCCAGACGTCTGGTGGTCCCTAAGGTCTCAAAGGTCACTGTTGGTGGCAGAGCATTTAGCTACCAAGCTCCTTTACTGTGGAATCAGCTTCCCATTTATGTTAAGGAAGCAGATACGGTCTCCACATTCAAGGCCAGGCTTAAAGCACTTTACTTTAATTTAGCATATAATTAGGTAATATATAATATGTAGTGTATATATTATATATATATGCTGTATTATGTTATATATTATGTTATATATTATTCAATAATGTATTGTGTTATGTTGTATATTATGTTATATATTATGCTGTATGTTATTCTTTATTCAAGGCTAGGTTTAAAACAGTCCTCTTTAGTTTAGCATATGGCTAGGAAGGTAAGACTCGGAGAAGGTTAAACTCCTCAGAGTGTTAGTCAAGCTGCATAGGGAGTCAGTTTGCTGGGAGAAGTATGGTAACTTGAGCACTATCCTCTCCTCCTTCCTACTTTATCTGTTTAGCATTTTTAGGATTCTGACTGTAGTTTGTTCATTGCTATTCACCCGTTGTCCCATTGTCTGTTTCATGGTACGATGACGGGATCTCTGAGCCTGGCCTCTTCCATCTACACCTGCGGACTGCCCCGCCCGACCCGCCTGGGAGTGCTTCAGTCCTGCACCGGACCTGTCCACGTTCAGCGTCCACTGGTCCACGTTCTGTAGCTAGCTTAGGTCCTGGATCATTAGTCTGTCCGTCCGGAGGAGCGGATCCCTTTCTCATATGGGTCTCCCTCCCTGTGGGTTTCCCTAGTTCTCCTCCAAGGTTTCTCACTTTTTCCCACTGGGTTTTTTAAGAGTTTTTCCTTGTCGATGCAGGAGGGTCTTGTTGGACAGTTAGTGTCCAACAGAAAGGATTGGTGATGATCGGGACACTTTAGCATTCTACAACATGTATGGACATTTTCTTTTGTGTGTGCTTTATATTCTCCATGTGTTTTAACTGTTGATTCTCTGACCTGTGTTGGTGATTTCAATGGTTTTGTTAAGTCCTCTGAGATGACTTCTGTTGTGACCTAGGGCTATACAAGAATAAATTGTATTGTATTGTATACTAAAGTGTTCTTGTTTTGTCAGATTCACGGTTCAAGCACAGCAGTCCACATCATCATGAAGACAAAAGAGAAGGAAAGCACCAGTGGAGTCAGGATCAGAAGGACATTTTCTTTGCTTTTTCTAGCCCTCAAGTCCTAAGTATTTGAGTGGACTATTATCGTACATTATCTAGACTTGGTTTTAGCGGATCCCAGTGAGCTCAGTGTGCCTTCTGCAGCACTAGAGTGCACCACTCTTTCCACCATCAATGAGAAATACTCAGATAAACCAGTGTACAGCATCTCCAGCAATGTCTAATGTCAACTATGTGACTGGGTCTGCTCATGAACTTGTATGATGCTGATACATGTTGACGCCCGCAAACACAACTGTACAGCCTTTCTGATCAACTTGTGCCATTATCAGCAGCTGTTTTTACATGTTATCAAACGAAAAGAGAAAAGTCCACATCTGTAATGAAGCACTTTCATACAGGGCCCCGGCGCACATGCTAATGCTGATGCTAGCTCTTCACACAAACAAGTCGCTCATTGAAGTAGCCACACAATACAATAGTACTACTACTACTACTACTACTACTACTACAACTACAATTGTTCATATCACGTTGTGTTCCTTTATTGAATCCATATTTCATCATCATTTCAGTGGTATTACCTCCAGGGAACAGGGGCAGGGCGTGGGAGGGGCGAGCCATCCTTCACAAAGTGACCGTTCAAAGATGTTTTCAGACCTGGAAAAGTGTCAACAAACTGGTTTTGCAAAGTGTATTAGTGCCTCAGTGTTATTACCACCGCTTTATCCTCAAACGCAAATGAGACGAAGAGAGTTCACAGTTCCACACAAGCGTCAGAGACCAACAGCAAGTGAAGTGAGCGAGCAGCAGTTTGAATATATACAACTTGCGTCTCCATGACAACGACGCACCCACAGGTTATTAAACGTGATTATTGAATAAAAAGGGAAAGATTTTGGTTTTCGGTTTTAACCATAGACAAAGTGGCTTTGGGGCGCCCTCTATAGGCCACAATGTGTTTATACGAAACAAGAACACAATAAAAGTAATATACATAAAAAAATGAAACAATGTCACGTTTATCACATACTGATTCATCAACTTGTTGTTTAAACATATTGCACCATAAATAAGTCAGTGTTTTATTACATAATAATATTTCTTCTTTTGCAACTCTGGCAGTTTTTTAAAATGTTTTTGAAGGAGGCCAGTCCCTGTGCTCCTCAGAGTGCCAGCAGGGGGCCAGTCCCTGTGCTGCTCAGAGCTGGTTCATTTGGCACTAACATGTCACATATGTACTTTGGTGTGAGATCATGGAGAGACTTGAACACAGACTCAGGGTAATATTGAAAAAGGCCATTGTTATTGTTGTATTTAGGTTTCACCAGTCAATTTCAACAGCTTTTAGTTTTGTAAGTGTAATTACTCAGTGTTTGTCTTTGTGTAGTTATTACTTTTATGAAATTGTTTTATTTTTAAATGTGACGACTTTTACCTTTTAACCTAACTTAATATCAAATTCAGCCATTTTCTGTTGCTTGGTAACAATCTTAAAAGGGCAGTTAAATCCCCCTTTTCAAGGTACTGGTTCTGAACTGGTCCTGGACTGGTTTTGGACCGAGCTTGGTCTACCATCAGAGAAAAGCAAATGGTAGTTACCGTAGCAATACACTGTTTTGCTTGTCTTTTGTCCTTAGCATTAGCCTGTTTTTGCTGTATTTCAAGTTATATTCATTAGTTTTGGTGGAAAACAAAATATTTTGAGGGAGGCCCAGGAACATATATTATAAAACAGCTAGTTTATAACTCTTCTCTTTTGGTTACAAGTAACACAGCACTTCAACAAAAATGTACTATTCCTGAAATAAGAATTAAAAGTACAATTGAATCTGACATGTTTTTTATTATGACTACATTTGGATTTCTTCAGCGCTCTCTTCTGTTGAGCTTCCTCCATCCCTCAGTCACTTGTTCTGGGCCCATTTTCTCCCTATTTATCCTGGGTCAGGTCACAAAGGCAGCAGTCTGAGCAGAGTGGCCCAGACTCCCCTCTTCACACACACTTCCTTCAGCTGCATGTGGCGTTCCCAGGCCAGCTCCAGACTCAGCTCCCTCTTCACCACAACAGTCCCATACAGAGGCAGCATCACGGCAGACGCTACTCCCTCCCTCGCAGTGAACAAGACCAGAGACACTTGAACTCCATCACCAGAGGAAGGAGCTCTCAGCACCTGGAGAGGTTAAGACATCTGCCTCCGGTCCAGTACCTTGTCCTCGTATTCAGAGGGGCTGAGTTCCGTAGTGAGGCTCATCTGCACATTTCTTTTGGTCAGTTTCTCTGTTTGGTCCAACTGCTCCTCAGCGCCTGCAGTCACAAGAAAACACAAGAATGTTATTGTTGAAATGTTGTTGTAAATCCTCACACAGATTTGCTGGAGGTACTTTACTCTCACCTCTGTTGGAGCTTGTCCTAGTTCCGGCGGCTCTCAGCAGACATGGCTCTGGTCTTATCTACACTGGTAAACTGTGGGCTGTGGTCAGGTGCAGGGGGTGTAGCTGTCTGTGGTGCTGAGCTGGTGGAGGCCCCACTGCTCTGGGTGTCTTCTAAAAGTGGCTCTGGGCCCCCGCTCCACTCACATCATAGTCTGCCAGATGAAAAGGCACTGGAGAACGTCTTACAGGTCCAAGGCCACGTGCTCCTGGCTCTGGGTTCTGCATCTTTAAACATCTGCATCTGACGACAAAGGACCAGTGGAAATCAATCAAAAAACTTTATTTTCTTTAAGTTCAAAGGGCTGGTTATTGGGCGACTTTAAATTTTGTTTGGCTTGAATTTTTCCATTGAAATTTTTTAACCCTGAAAAAGCAATGGTTGATTATTGTCGTCTTTGCATTTCCGTCACTAAAAATTCAGTTTACAAATTTCAATGTGATTAAAATTTCAAAATGACATATTCACCTTCAAAATATTCAAAAAAAAAATTTTTTGTTCCATCCGAAATTGAATTTTAAATGGACCTGAATTCATCTATTTGAATTTTTCAACGTCTTGAATATTTTTGTCTGTGAATTTCAGTCACTGATTATCAATTTCATAATGTTAAATTCAACATTCTAAATTCACCGCAAAAAAAAATACGAAAAAATGGCTTTAAGTAGGGGCTGGTGCTATGTGTACTGGGTGCAGCTCTGCCCTCGAGAACATCCAGAGCCAGCGCACTCTGCGGCGGGTCCGTAAGATTGTGAAGGACTCTCATCCTGCACACAGACTCTGGTCGCCGGCGCCGCTAGTCTTCGGGCCAGGACCAGTAAGAACCAATTAACCAATTAAAGACCATTAAATGGACTTTAATTTAATGTAATATAATTAATGTATATACTAGCGATAGCAGCAGATAAATATTATGGTCCCAGCTGGATTTGTCTGCATATCTGGCAAACTGAGTCAGGGCGAGTGGAAGAGATTGCAGATGGACAGATTTTTACATATTGCTCCTATAACTGCTTGTTTACGAAGCAAGTAATTTTCGTTATCCGACTAATCTCTAACGCACCCTCTATAGTAAGTATGAAAGTCTTCATTTGAATAAAGTTGAAATTACAGTCTGAGGATAATACTATACAGGATTCATTATTAACCAAGTTACCTGGATTTTCATAGTTGTAGTGAGCTTTGACAACCACCAGAGTGCACAAATACTCTTTTACAGATGGTTTGAGAACTTTTCACATCAAGTAACTAATATGTAATCTTTCAAGTATCACCTACACCATCTATCCACTGTCTTCCGCGTTATCTGTTGCCCAGTCGCGGTGGTTACAGCTCATCCAGGGGAATCCCGAGGCGTTCCCTGGTCAGCTGACAGTCCCTCCAGCATGTCCTGGGTCTTCCCCTGGTCTCCCCCGGTGGGACACGCCAAGAACATCTTCCTCAGGGAAACGTCCAGGAGACATCCCACAGATGCCCGAGCCACCTCAACTGGCTCCTCTACATGTGGAGTAGCAACAGCTCTACTCCGAGCTCCTCCCATGTGACTGAGCTCCTCCCCCTATCTCAAGCTCCACTCAGGAAACTCAGGCTTGTATTTGCAATCTCATTACCCGAAGTTCATGATTAGAGGTGAGGGAGGGGACTAGAGCTCTGACTGAAGACAGATTCAGATTCATTTATTTGCCATTTGCAGTAAAACCACATTGGAAAAACTGTGCAAGACTACCCCAGTGTGCAACACACCAGAGCTCTTGCCACGGCGCCATGCGACACTGCCTTCTTCACCATAACACAAATTCATGCAGTATTTGTTTATACTTGTACTGCATTCAACACACTTGATGTCATTAGCTGAGGATTCCATTTATAGGGAGCGTAATGAGAGAAGGCTGATTCTCCTAATTCCAGTTTTACGTAAAGAACATCTGAGGAGATCTAGGGCTACACACATTACTGAGACCAGAGACCAGGGGCCGTATTCCTAAAGATTCTTACTGCTAAAAGTTGCTCCTAGTGGCCAAATTCTAAGAATTTTCTTAGAATCTTGACCAACTCTTAGAATTTCCCCTAAAAGTGAGGAGTAGCTCCTAGTTAAGATAAAAGCTATTCCTAAAAAATCCTAGCTCTTAAGAGTGCTCTTAAGGGGAGATCCCTTAAGAGTTGAGAGGAGGACTTTTAGCGACTTAAAAGTTCCCTAAGAGCACAAAATGGTGGACGGTGGAGACAGGAGAAATATTCTATACACTGGATGACAGTGAATCAGTGAAACGCTACAGATTCAAGCAGGAATCATGTTTGTGGTATATTTAAAAGTCAATCATGTGACCAGCTTCTCATTGGCTGGTCAGCAATAACACCTCATCCATTTTACCTTTGTTACACAAAAGTAAGTAGAAATGGTAAAAGTTGAAAGAGAGGAAAAAGTGGTCCTAAATTGTCACACATTCAGTACGAATGAATGAATACTTTATTTTGAGCCATGGCAAACAAGAAAAAAAAGGACAAAACAAACAAAACAACAACAGAATAGAAGTACAAATATACAGTTTTGTTTTATTAACAACAATCCAGCTCAAAAAGGAGTGGGAGAGGATAAGACTTTTAAGCTCCCTTGTACTTGATTAGTACAGTGTATGTATAATATGTTTATATTAATATTGTTTCCTTAATTCCTTATAAGTCTATACATATCACAGCCTTTACTAATCCTAACGTTATCATTATCATAATTTATTTATCCATATAATATTTATAATAATAATTTTCTTTATCATGTATATTATATATAGAGTAATATTTAATTATATGTATATATATATATATATATATATATATATATAAAATTATAAGTGCTCATGATATATACGTATTATGTGTGATAAATTGGTGCTGAGCAAGCTCTGATGATGGTGTATAAGTCTAACTTTACTATTCACAGTATTTATGTACCATTGATATATCTGACTTTATAGCTTTTGGTTATTATTTACAATAACACAGTGTTCCTAAGATTAGATTCCATGATTGAGTTTGTCCATTTTAGGGCCCTTATTTTGCCTATTATCATCAAAATATGTTTGTTCTAACTTTTAGGATCAACCAATCACAGCGTCTGAAATGATGACTCATACCTAGCAACGGGGTCGGCCACGCCTCCTCACTAAGATAAAAGTTGTTGTCAATTCCTTGCTCAGAGTTCTCTAAGAGTGTTCTGGAATAACTTTTAAGCTAAGACTCCTAGCTAGGAGTTTTTAGGTTAAGATAAGAGCTCTCTGAGAGGACTCTCAGAATCTTTACGAATACGGCCCCAGGACTGAGACCAGAGACAAGGACTGAGACCAGAGACAAGGACTGAGACCAGAGACAAGAACTGAGTCCAGAGACCAGAGACAGGGACAGACCGAGGCAAGAGATCAGGACAGGACTGAGGCCAGAGATCAGGACTGAGACCAGAGACCAGGATTGAGACCAGAAACCAGGACCAGGTTTCTGGTTTGGTTAATTAAACTGAAGATTTGGAAAAGGCAGCTCCACCACAGTTTGGGAAACACTAAATCCACAGAATCAACAGAATTGCAATAGCTTTATAAAGGTTTTATTTTTGTATCTTCTTCAAAATGGAAACACAGAAACATACAGCCATCAAGGACACGTTTACATAATTTACAATAAAAGTTTCCACGACTCGACACAAACAACATTTAGATTTTTTAAATGGAAACATAATTCGAAAAACAAATAACAAAATATCGGTTTCCACTAGCCCAAGTCTACTGTACTCTTCTCTACCAGAGCGAGAGGAAAGAGAGAGAACAGAGAGCGGAGAGAGACCAGAGAGAGTGGTACTGGATCCTATTAACCTAAGTACAACAAACCAGTTACCAGGGAAATTCCTTGGTAACAGAGTAGATAAGAGTAAAGTACAGTAGAGTAGGGTAAAGTCAGCCTGGTGGAAAAGGGGCTAATGACAACCCAGTTTGTTAGTTCTTGCAAGAAGCATAAAAGAAGTAGGTGTAAAAAAAAGAATGGCATTTGCTGGCATAGAAATAACAGTAGGATATTGATATGTTTTATTCATGTAGAAATTAAGGCAAGCAGCAGACGTGAATGACAAAGATCGTATTGAAAATGAGGAGTGTTCCATTTAAACACAGGCACTAGTAGAAGTAAACGCAGACATCACAGAGCACAAAATACCACACTATAACCCAGGATTTTTAAAAAGAACCTTCAAACGCTGTATACATTTTGGTTCATGGAAAAGAAGGCACAGGTGTTGTCTTGCTAAACTAAATATAAATTGTTTTTGGCCTGGGTTGCGTTCAAGTGATGTTGCATATTTTACTTTTCAAAGAATCTCACAAGAAGAAAGGATTGCCAAGGATAAATTTATAGCTCATGCTCAAGTTGTTCCATAAGCCAGGACAAAGGGGCAGTTTTACTCTCTCACACCTTAGAGACTGAAGAGACTGCAGATGGTGCTGTTGTCATGTCTCTGATGGTAGGAAGACAAGAGAGAGAGACCAGAGAGAGACCAGAGAAAGACCAGAGAAAGACCAGAGAGAGACCAGAGATTCTGACCAGGAGTGCTTACCTCTCAAGTTTGCAGCATCTCATCTCTCCTTTAACATGAGCACAACCCATGAGCACAACCAAGACAAAGAAACCAGGGTTTTATCATTCAAAGCGGCAGATGGTCCATAAACAAAGACTATTTAATACTTCTAAATTATAAAAATCCTGAGCAACTTTTGAAAGCCGATTGGTTTTGGATGTTCTAAGAATCCTGCCCCCGGAACCCGGCAATAGTTAAAGTTATATAAAAATGAAATGACAGCTGTATATTGGTTCTGTATAACTTATTGAGTGAGATGTTGTAATGTTGTGGCTTAGTACCAACCATGGATCTATAATAATATCTGCATCAACGAGCAGACAGGAGAAAAATGTTTGCATAATTAACAACAATCTAAACAATTCCCTTTTTGAAACATTTTGAGACAAAGATTTTACGACAATCATCTTTTGTACAACATAAAAGGAACTTATATCTTTCTTCATTATAAAATATATGTACATTTTACATCTACAATAAAGTTTGATAAGAAGAATGCAAAACAGCAGAGCAGCAATATGGTCAAAAGCCCTGTTTCCACCAGCCCAAATCTACTCTACTCTACGCTGATTGTGACTGTTTCCAATGGCCCTGTTTAGTCCCTCTTGGCCCTGTTTCTACCCAGGCCGAGCTGGTGCTAAAGTGTTCAAACTGATTGTGATTGGCCAGAAAGCTGCTGGCACCATGGTTACCAAAGAATTTCCCCGGATACTGGTTTTGTGGGTAGATTGTGGGTAGACTGCTAGAATGTTTGCATCAGATACTAAAGTGTGACGGAAACACAACCAGGTAGAGTACAGATCTGGTGAAAACAGGGGTAAAGCAACAAGGTGAACTTTTTGCGTGACTTTAACTGTGATAAAATGCCCTGGATAAAAAACATGAACATGAACGTGGCCTGACCAGAGTGTGACATCACCCAAGCCACATTCTGAAAATTGAATTATAAAACTACAGGTACTTTTGGAGAACATGCAAAATTAACAACGTTTTTCTTTTTCTTTTTTACATCATTCTAATATTTACATGTCCCACAAGTAATACTAACGGTTCATACACCATCGGGGCCTTGTATGGTGAAGCTTATCAAATAGAAAGAAAGAGCAGAGAGAGAGATCAAAGAGGGAGCCCAAAGAGAGAGACCGAAGAGAGACCAGAGAGAGTTGGGGACAAAAGTTTTCTTATGACTTTAATAAAGGTAACTCTCATGTTTTACTAGCAAGTTTTTGATGTTGCAAAACAGTGACGAAAGGTGAACCGCGTCATAGTGAGGGACAACTGTAACTATTTTCTTTTTAAATCAACTTTTCATAGTTGTAAGTAGGTGAGAATGTCTTCTTAGTAGAGGTCATACCTGCACAACAGTGATCTGAAGCCAGAAGAATACTCTCGTTTGTCCCTAATTTCTCACAGTACAAAGCCGCATCGAAGCTTCACCCACTTCTCATATTATGATGTAACATTTCCATTCAATTTTCCCTTTTTAAAAAGGTTTGATGTTGTCAATATATGGTGTAACTAAAGAGTATGTCCTTATAATGTATGTCTTAAACTTTGTGGTTAAAATGTCTAGGTTTTAGGACTTAAAATAATCGCATAGAGAACATACACACAACATACAGTATATCGCTAAACAGTTGTGCTCATACATTTTCAGAATATATGCGAAAAGGTTTGAAAGCTACACACAAGAACCGGCTAACCCTACCCTACCCTACTGGTCCCGTTTAACCAGTACCGGGTCCTTCTTTAGTCCCTCTTGGCTCTGATTCAATCCAGGCCGAGCTGGTATATTTGGTTATAGTAAACAGGGCTATTCTAAGAGTGGTAACGTCTATAAAATCTTTCCAATCCTCTGAGGACAAAGGATATGTAACAGGCATATGTTTTAGTTGCATTGTGGAAAAGACCGCATACATTCTGAAGGGTATATGAGCACAACTGCAATAAATTAATTAGCTATCACAACTTGTATAAAAGGAGGCCACAGTGAGCGAGCATCACCGTGAGTGGGAGACGTGATCTCGGCTACAATCTCCACAGGTTCCAGGCCGTGGTTTGTTCACATCTTGTTGGAAACGTAGTCGGGGTTGAACGCCGGCTGCGACAAGAAGTCCATCTGAGGAGCGTTGGGCTGAAGGGGGGGCTGAGGATGAGCCGGGGGATGAGCTGGGGAGGGACCAGGGGGCTGAAGAGGGTACGAGGGCTGACCCGGAGAGAAGGCTGCTTGGCTGTAAGGCATCGGGGCGACAGGGTAAGGACCAGCTGAAAAACACAATATCGTCAGTGAGTATAGCAGCATTTCCATCAGCGCTGCTCTACCTTACTCTTCTACTTAACCCCACCTTACCTTACTCTTCTACTTAACCCCACCTTACTCTACTCTACCCCTACTTTACCCTACTTTATGCTATTCTATCCTACCCTACTTTACCTTACCCTGCACTAATCTACTCAGTTGCGTTTCATTATTAAACCCTAAATATACAGTAGGTGAAGAGAGAAGGCCTTTTCTTCCAATTTAACAGAAATTATAAGAAACATTTTGCATGGACCTCTTCTTTAAACAGTGATTTAAATTCTAGTGGGTAAACTAATAAATGCATAAATGGCCCATTTTCATCAGCCCTACATGACTCTGGCCTCTGTCGGGAGCAGTGGTCGCTGTGGTAACAGGGGACTCAGCTCCAGATCTTGATGCTCTTCAGGACCTTCAGGGTTTTACCTATTGTACATGGTTTTAGTGGAAGGGGGAAAACCGGAGCACCTGGAGGAATCCTACTCAGAAACGGGGAAAACATGCAATCTCCACTCAAAAAGGCCCTGTTCCGACCAGAATTCGAACCCGGGGCCTCATTGCTGAGAAGATAACTACTCAGCCACCACATGGTTGAAAAAAAGCCTAAATTAGTGTAATCAACTTCAGCTGTGGTCATGAGCTTTGACTGACTCATCTGACAAAATTGCAGATTCAAGCTCTAACGTGACTCGGCCAAAGAGTGGAAGGAAACAAATGGAAATACATCAGCAATTTAAGATAAGAACAAACACTTTTTTTGGTCTCCTTCTGGTCTCTCACTCTTGTCTCACTGATCTCTCACATTTATCAACATTTCTGGATAGTGGCCATCCAACTTCCTATGGACCATTGTCTCCAATGTGTTTGTCATTATTACATTTCCTGTGTTCGAACTGTTGGATTGTTTGATCTGTTGTTGGTGAATCCACAACTTTGTAAACTCCTGAGACGAGGACACTTTTAGCATTTCAGTTGAACCTCTCCTTCATAATCTCTGTTCTCTCCAGTGTAAATCTAATGTCCTCTTTAAAGAGCGACTAAACACCTGTGCCCAGCCTTACTCCGCCCACATGAAGATTTGAAAATGTTCTCTTAAAAGGGCGTTGCCTGGAGGACCAAGGGACAAGAAGGGGGGCTTAGAGTTGGGCGTGGTCTGGGCTGTGATTGACAGCTCACTTGTCACACAAAAAAAAACAGACAGTTGTCATTGCTGCTTAAAACAATAGTTTACAGACCAGAAAGTCTCATTCCACCCTTGATTACACACTAAGATAATTGTAAAGCTACACACCTGAACCTAATCACACTCAATAATTTCAGAATCACTCATGTAATTTAATTTTAATCCACTAGATGGCGCCAGAATACTCAACTGCAGCTGGGGCGTGTGTGAGAGTTGGATGGGTTTATATCACTGGCTCTGACAGACTGACGTCACACAAAACAACTGATGTCATAGAGAACTTCAGAGTCAATGGAGAGGCCAGAACCAAATTAAAATGAAGTACCACCAAAAAGGTTGAGAGGGCGCCACACAGACGTTTTTTGGCTCAAAAGTGATATTTTATCTAATTTGAACTAAAATGTCAAAAAAATGACCAGGATATGTAGAGAGCACTACAATAAACATATTTATGGAGTTTATGAGTTGAAAAAAGTTGATTTGGCGTTTAGTCGCTCTTTAATAAAGTTTGCTGCACATTGAATCTAATCAGAGCATTACTGTCTGCACTCACTTGCTTCCTGATATGTTGGAGGAGGTCCTGGCACGAAGGGCGCTGCCTGGTAGGCCCCCGGCTGGGCCACATACCCAGGCCCCGGCTGGGCCACATACCCAGGCCCCGGCTGGGCCACATACCCAGGCCCCGGCTGGGCCCCGTACCCCGGCTGCACGGGCACAGGCTGGTAGGGCGTGTACTGGCCCTGGTACGGCTGTGAGGCCTGAGGCTGCTGAGGGTACGAGTGGTGTGTGGACGTGACGACTGTGGTGGCAACAACAGCTGCAAGAAACAGACATTAACAGTAGTAGTTTATTATCTTCATTACAAACATTTAGATCTTCAGTCACATGCTTTCAAAAATCATATACATTTCACAATAAGAAAAAAAACTAAAACGTCTATATTGAGAATGTTAAGTGCTAGATAATTCCTGACTGACAGGGGTTTAGGTTGAAGTCAAGACTTATCCTGCCTCACCCCTTTTACAACTGTGACAAAATGTCCAAAGACGACGCCGTATACATAACTTTAAAAATCTAAATTATGTCATCAAATTCAAGTGTCTGGGCTTTGGCTTGTCATACATAATTTTAAAGCTAATATTATCAAGAAAACAAGCATGACATTTCTTTTACCATAAACATTGAATCCCGAATGCAAGAAGTAATAATTTAAAGTAAACATTATAAAACCCCGTCTACAACACAAAGCCTCATTGCTCTTTTGTCCAGTTTTGTTTCAATCCCAGCAGCTGGACATTTTGTTCATAGAAATATATTAACTGACAAAATAAAATAAAGAAAGTAATAATTTGGTCCCAATACATTCATGATTATAAAAAGCCACAGATACAAACAATGAACTATAAAACTTTCCAGAAACACATGATTCTTGGTTTTCATGTTTGTCTTTGTTCTACGAGCCCAGACGTTTACTTTTTCTGCTGTAAATGTTAAAGGAGAAGATGCAGAGTTTGAAATGTAGCGGTATATTACAATTATTCAGGTAAACTGCATGAGAAACGTAAAATAGTGCGCTATTTTAGTGGTTAGAATCTCTGTGTGTGCATAGATTATTTTGCCTCATGCAGCCCCCAGACAAATTGAGTTTGAGACTAATGCGCCAATAGTTCTGGAGCCCTTAAGATGAATAGGTAGATCGTTCTATAGTCATTTGACTGATCGACACCTCCTTAGTTTTTGTATCTACATGCCCTAACAGTGTGGAAGCCGTAGATTGTGCGTCACAACTGCTATGTCATCATCAACAAGATCATACAATTTTAAGATATTTAGTTTTAGCTTAGTGGCTTTGTGGGAGTAAGGTATTCTGCAAGGCTGATCACTCTAATTGATTTCTATCTAAGAAGAAAGGTTATATATTTGTTTTATAGATATACCTCCATATTGCCACAGAGTAGGTATGGCATGGATTAGAGGTCAGACACGAGACTGCAGAAGCACCCCATGGGTTTTGAATGAATGGTGCTTTATTCTCTGGAACTCACTCCCACAACCCATCGAAAACTCTGACTCACAACAGAACTTAGTATTTTCAAAACGTTTAACCTCAGCAATCCTAAATAATTACTATTTTTGCATGTTTTGTAAAACGTCTTTGTGTGTCCAAAATAGTGCTATACAAGTTTGATGTATTATTATTATTATTGTTATTATGAATACATTTGCCTGTAGACCACAGAAATGTATATGTAGAGGATATATTCAGGGGTACTCAAACTATATCAAGCTGAGCCAGTTGTTAGAGGCATATTGTTATATATCCATATATTATTGACAGGGAAAAGGAGGAGGAAGAGGAGGCGGCTTCATGTCAGTGACATTAGACAATGGTGAGTCACACATGGGTGGAGTTTGGAATTTCTTGGCCCCAGTCTCCAAATGAAGAACTCAGAATCTACAGCCATGTGTCTGCATGTGTATCTGCAGATGTGTGTGTCTGCGTATGTGTGTGTTTGCGTATGTGTGTGTGTCTGTGCGTTTGAAAGTCCCTTCTTCTACTCCTACCAATTTATATCATCCACATGTTTGAATATTGTAACCACTTCACACCATTCTGGTTCCTTTTGTTTCAGTTTCAAAAACAATTCTGATTCTGATTGATTTTAGCTTTATGCTAGCACCTTTTCTCTGGCTGATGTAAGTTGGACCTGTGTGGGTAATCTATCTTTTGTAGATTCTGTAGTTCCGGTGTTGGCCACAGATCCGGCTCAGAACAGGGTTGGTCTCTGATCGTTTGTTTTGGCTCGCTCACCATCTCTACTTTACTGCTCTGTGTGATTTTGGCTCTGAGGTTGGGTTTTTCTTGGGGTAAAAAAAAAAGACTTGTTTGTTGTGGGTAGGTTTCTAGTAGAGTAGAGTAGATCAGAGTAGTGTAGTGTAGTCTAGTATATTGTAGTGTAGTGAAGAGTCGAGAAGTATAGAGTAGTAGTTCAGTAGAGTAGTGTAGAGTACAGTACAGTAGACTAGAGTAGAGTAGGCCTGGTGGAAACAGGGCCTCAGTCGGGGAATCCAGTTTTCGAAATCCTGCGTACTTCCTGTATATTTTGAAACACTGTCTTGTTTGCACACTTCTGTCTTTTGCACTGAATGATTCTGTCTATGCCAAATGTGACATGTACATTTCTCCATTGTGAGATGAATAAAGTGTATTTTATCTTATCTGAACTTTGTCGAACACTGATTCCTGAACGAAATAATATATCACTTCCAGTTTGATATTACAATAGGTTAGAATATGAATGGTTTCTGTTCAAAATGGGGAACATAACTTTCAAACCACAAACACATTTTACTAAGTACTAAAACCCACGTCTCTAGTTCCTGGCTAGAGACTTTTTCATACTTTTGTGTCTCTCTCTCAGGTATCTCGGGTCTCTGTATGTGGTTTCGCTCTGGTCTCTCTCTCGCTCGCTCTGGTCTCTCTCGCTCGCTCTGGTCTCTCTCGCTCGCTCTGGTCTCTCTCGCTCGCTCTGGTCTCTCTCGCTCTCTCGCTCGATTGCTCTGGTCTCTCTTTCTCGCTCGCTCGCTCTGGTCTCTCTCTCTCTCTCTCGCTCGCTCTGGTCTCTCTCTCTCTCGCTCGCTCGCTCTGGTCTCTCTCTCTCTCGCTCACTCGCTCTGGTCTCTCTCTCGCTCGCTCTGGTCTCTCTCTCTCTCGCTCGCTCTGGTCTCTCTCGCTCGCTCTGGTCTCTCTCTCTCGCTCTGGTCTCTCTCTCTCGCTCTGGTCTCTCTCTCGCTCTCTCTCTCTCTCGCTCTCTCTCTCGCTCTCTCTGGTCTCTCTCTCGCTCTCTCTGGTCTCTCTCTCTGGTCTCTCTCTCGCTCTCTCTGGTCTCTCTCTCTGGTCTCTCTCTCGCTCTCTCTGGTCTCTCTCTCTCGCTCTGGTCTCTCTCTCTCGCTCTGGTCTCTCTCTCTCGCTCTGGTCTCTCTCTCGCTCTCTCTCTCTCTCGCTCTCTCTCTCGCTCTCTCTGGTCTCTCTCTCGCTCTCTCTGGTCTCTCTCTCTGGTCTCTCTCTCGCTCTCTCTGGTCTCTCTCTCGCTCTGGTCTCTCTCTCGCTCTGGTCTCTCTCTCTCTCGCTCTGGTCTCTCTCTCTCTCTGGTCTCTCTCTCTCTCTCTCGCTCGCTCTGGTCTCTCTCTCTCTCGCTCTGGTCTCTCTGGTCTGGACTCACGTCGTGGTCTCCGGCAGCTCTTGTACAGACAGCAGCAGGGGCAGACACAGCAGAGGATGAAGATCAGAGCGATGATGATAAAGACTACGATGCCGACCACCATGGGAGCGAGAGGCTGGAAGTCATGGACATCACTGTGAAACATGAAGCAAATGTTAATTTACTGTAAAGGCAAGTTTATTTGTATGACATAGTTCATACACAAGGCAAGTGCTGAAGTAAGACAGAAACATTAAAATGGATACAATCTTTCAGTTGTCGCAGTGAAACATTTAACATGGTCAGAGTATAGCCTCCAACCATCCATTTTCTTCCGCTTAATCCATTTCTGGGTCAGAGCTGCACCTAATTCACATAGCACCAGCCCCCCAAAATGTAAGCCTGTCTCACATTTTCAGGAAGACTGTTCAGATTTCACCTGCATAAATCTGAAAGGCTGCCTCCAGTTAATAATATGCTTTGAATATACATGAGAAAATTTGAATAAATCCCCATCTACAAAAACACAGATCCATATCATTAAAACGTTGAAATCTGAAGGGAAGCAAGGCCTGGTTCTTACTGTGTGGAACACCAGGTGCCACAGTGGGGCAGCTGCGGCTGTAAAGTGCAAAACTGTTTGTGTGCCCTTAGGCAAGACACTTTACCTACACTAGTCAGTGAAGTGCCTTGCCTAAGACACCAAGTATCTTAGCTTCTGTCAGTGTACCCCAGAGCAGCTGTGTAGAATGTAGCTGTGAATAAAAAATTATGTGAAGAGACTTTGAGCATCAAGCGTTATCATTATCATATTTATTACTATCAACATCCAGAAGCCAACAGTAAAGTGAGATTAAAGCACAGGATATCAGGGGCTTCAGGATTTAAAAGGGTTGGACTCTTTTGTTATGGGCCAAATTTGAGAATTTTGAAGTAAATCTTGGTAACAGTGAAACCCTGTGTTGCGACGTTTTTTACAGTTCTGCTTTTATGCTGTTTCTGTACACCAGCCACAGTGACCACAACAGGATATCAACGTGCACGTGTTTCCAAAAGGAAGTTAACTTTGTGACTTTTTCTGTTTCCATGTGTAGTTTAGTCATTATTGTTTTGAACTTATCTTTTATTTTAGAAATGTGTGAAGGTCTATCTTGAACTCCCAGAGCTGTCGTTGCAGTAGTCTAACCTACTGGAGACAAATGCATGGATAAGAATCTCCAAGTCTGCTTTAGACACTATGTTTTTGATCCTGGCAATGTTTTTAGGTGGTAAAAAGCTGCTGATGTTACTGATTTGATGTGGCTATTAAAATTTAAGTCTGAGTCCAGTATTACCGCTAGATTTCTGACCTTGTTTGAAGGTTTTAGGGAGAGAGACTGTAGGTGACAGATGACGCTCTCTCTTTGTTTCTGGGGACCAAAGACAATCATTTCAGTTTTGTCTGCGTTTAGCTGAAGGAAGTTGTTTTGCATCCACTCACTGATCTGTTGGATACAGTGAAGGAGTGAGTCCACTGGTCCATGTTCTCCTGCAGTCAGTGAGACATAGATCTGAGTGTCGTCTGCATAGTTATGATAGGACACTTCGTTTCTGCGTATTAACTGACCTAACGGCAGCATGTAGAGATTGAACAGAAGAGGTCCCAGGATCGACCCCTGTGGTACTCCACAGGTCAGGGCCATATGATCTGAGACACAGTTTCCAATCTCCACAAAGTACTTCCTGTCTTCAAGGTAAGACCTAAACCAACTTAGGGCGGTGCCAGCGACACCAACCCAGTCCTCTAGTCTCTGCAAGAGGATCTCATGGTCGACGGTGTCAAAGGCAGCACTTAGATCTAACAAGATTAAGATTGAGACGGATATCGTTTGTTACCTTGACTGGGGCAGTCTAAGTGCTGTGGTGGGGTCTAAAGCCGGACTGAAACATATCAAATGAGTAGTTGATTATAAGAAATCTAGTAAGCTGTTGGTAGACCACTTTTTCAAGAACTTTCCCCATAAATGGCAGATTTGAGATGGGAAACATACCAATCTTCTTGTTTCTTCTCCGTCAGCCTCCAGAAAGAGTCCGAACAGCAGTATCTGTTAAAGCAGGTGCCACAGCAGAAGCCAGTGTAGCACTTTACTTTGCTGTGATACTGTCCGGACATGTCTGAATACGCTTCACAGTCTTCGTACCCTGTAAAACAATATGTGAGTTTAAACTGTTACCACGTTAATCACAATGAATGCAGCTGGTGCTGCTGATACACAGGTGCTCAAAAGTCAATTGTCTCTCTCGCTCTGGTCTCTCTCTCTAGTACTGTAATATGTTGGCTGCAGGGTTTAAAGAACTTTACAAAAGTAGCAGCTTATTGTCCTGTCCATCAAGTTGTGTACACTTTTGCTTTGTTTAGAATAGTCTTTAATCTTATATAATAAAACAGGCATCATCCGAGCTAGATTTGTAGTTATGTTTATTCTTACTGAGCCAAATACAAACATATTATTACAGCTTACTGGACTTCTATTTTTGCATTTGTGAGAAAGTAATAGCATAAGAGCATAGTTAAATACCCACAAATAAAAATAAGTAATACTATTGATTTTCTCCCACCATATTGTTTCACTACTTCCTGTTATATATGTATACATAAATATAGATAAATATATATTACTATTCAATACAGCAGCAGTAATTAAATATTTAAATGTAGTTCCATTTGATTTTGTTCCCTCCCTCTGGTCTCCTGCTTCTCTCTCTGTATAATGCTAATGTAGCTGGTGAGTAAACATTTCTCATTCAGCCAACTTCAGCTCTGTCAAATGTGAATCCAATATAGGAATGTCATATCTCATTTCTTTGTACCTTTGGCTGTCTGACTGTACAACCAACCTGGATGAGTCTTCTGCTGCTGGACACCTGAATTTCTCCAACAAGGAATCAATAAAGTATCCATCTATCTATCTATTTCAAAGCTCAGAACAGTCCAAAAATCAATCTGTATGTCCGCCTCTGGGTACCTGCGAACTAAGTAAAGTAGCCCTCTAACTAAACAGTTTGGAACCCCCTGGTCTAATACCAGGGGGTCCTTCACTCTTTGTGGGAGGAACAGGTGCTGAATAAAGCAAAGTGTAGACTGGCTCAGTCCAAACTTCCTCGGATCGCTGACTTTGTCATGATGCCTTAAAAGGCGTAGTTTTAATACTCCAGCTCAGAAAACAAAGAGTTTATTCCAATTCCTTTGTGCCCTCTGCTATAAAACTGTTGAACTCTGGTGGAGGTGATTGAATTGTATTGTTTTTCCCTTATACTGTAACCTTCTGCTGCATGAACCGTGTGGCCTGTGTGTTCTGCTTTGAGATTATGCTGCAAATGAATTGCCCTCTGGGATCAATAGTTTTCTGAATCTGAAACATACATTGAGTACAGGTTCATCTGTACAGCAAACACGTCACTGTTCCATAGCAAAAAAAATACGATCATAATGCAGTAATACACTGTTGAATAGAAAATAATACATAGATAATAACAATAAAAGATCTGATTTTTCAACATGGGAACAGCAACAACAACAAGTATGACCATTTAGTGCCACACGTGACAGTAACACATCAGAAATATAATTAACTAGAGGAAACAATACATTGTAAAGAGGAAACATTGCTTTGTGTAGTTATGACATTTGAGTACTTATGTTTGTTCTGACCACTTCATTACTGATTCTATTTTCGAAGAACAACGTTCGATTTACCAAAAAGGAAACTTAAAGCAGTCCGATGCTATTCCTCAAGATGCTAGCTGGAGCGACATCGCCCTAAACCACAACAGCGCGCCCACGGAAAACATACAGAAAGTACTAAAAACAACCAGTAAAACACATTTAAAGCATATGTTGGGATAAATATACATACCAGCATGTGTACATGGAATACACACGATAATTATAGCCAGCACAACAAGGCTAGACAGGGTAGACGCCATGGCTGCGAGTACGGGAGCAGGACGAGCAGGACCTCTCCTCTCTCTCTCATACGGGAATGGGTGGGATCACAAAGATCGTGTGTGGAGAGATCGTCTCTGAGGATGACGAAGACTCACGCGGGGAGATTTGCGCGATTTGCCCATGTCTCAACAATTCGGTTTGGTTTTGTCGCCCTCTGCTGATGAAGTGAATTTATGTGTAACTTGAGTTTTTCCTTGCCGATGCAGGAGGGCCTTGTTGGACAGTTTAGTGTCCAACAAAAAGGATTGGTGATGATCCAGGACACTTTAACATTCTGCAACATGTATGGACATTTTTGTGTGTGTGCTTTATATTTTTCATGTGTTTTAACTGTCGATTCTCTGATCTGTGTTGGTGATTTCAGATGACTTCTGTTGTGACTTAGGGCTATACAAGAATAAACTATATTGTATTGTATTGCTATATGGGTGTTTATTTTATTTATTTTATGTATTTTATGTATTTTATTTATTGTATTTATTGTATTTATTTTATTTATTTTATTTATTTTATTTATTTTATTTATTTTATTTATTTTATTTATTTTATTTATTTTATTTTATTTACTCTCTGGTCTTTCTCTTGTCTCTCTGGTCTATCTAGCTCAGCCATTCCCAAACTCAGTAACACCGAGGCCCCCTTAAAAATCTCACGGGTCTGCGTGGCCCCCCAAAATAATAACCAAGAAGACAACATTAAGAATAGGCTCGTCTGGTTATTTTATTTTGGGGAAATAGCCTCTGCTACAAACATTGTAATACAAAAATGATTACAGTGGATTATTCAAGTCAAATAATGAACACAAATATTTCAATATTACAAACAAAAGATTATAAATTTAACATAATTTTTTTTTTTTTTTTTTTTTTTTATGACCTCCCGCGGCCCACCTGCAGTACCCTCGCGGCCCACCAGGGGGCCGCGGACCCCACTTTGGGAGACACTGATCTAGCTGATCTCTCTCTGGTCTCTCTTTTGTCCTTCTTTGGTCTCTTTTTCTGGTCTCTCGCTGATCACTCTCTCTGGACTCCCTCTGATCTATCCCTGGTCTCTCTGGTCTCTCTCTGGTCTCTCTTTGGTCCCTCTCAGATCTATTTCTCTGGTCAATCTCTGGTCCTTCTCTCTGGTCTCTCTCTGGCCACTCTCTCTGATCCTTCTCTCTGGTCTCTTGTCTCTCTCACTGTTGACTCTCTCACTGATCTCTATCCTTAGAAAAAAGTATGACGTCATTATGGTACAGTGACATCATAATTACAGGAGTTACAGGAGCTTTTAGACAAAAGGGGCGGAGCTACATGCTTGTATCAGAAGTGAGTATTAGCGTGAATGGATCCAAAACAACTCCAAGTCCGTGACTGATGAGGAGCAATGTTTAATTCTGGATAAAAGAGAAAAAAAAGTGTTTTTTGGTTTTTTTTGACAAGGGGGGCTTTGATATGTTTGTTCACAGAATATCAAATTATCTTGGCTTAAGTGGTTTACTGAATGTCACTGCTGTCACGACCGGCGCATTCACTCTGCCTCAGGCACAAACTGGGGATCTGGGGAAAATGAATGAGAGCAATAAACATGTGATACTTGCCTCTGCCTCAGTTATGAATATACAGCCTCAGTCCTGGATCTACAGCCTCAGTCCTAGATCTAAAGTCTCAGTCCTGGATCTACAGCCTCAGTCTGGGATCTACAGCCTCAGTTCTGAATCTACAGCCTCAGTCCTGGATCTACAGCCTCAGTCCTGGATCTACAGCCTCAGTCTGGGATCTACAGCCTCAGTCCTGGATCTACAGCCTCAGTCCGGGATCTACAGCCTCAGTTCTGAATCTACAGCCTCAGTCCTGGATCTACAGCCTCAGTCTGGGATCTACAGCCTCAGTCCTGGATCTACAGCCTCAGTCCTGGATCTACAGCCTCAGTCTGGGATCTACAGCCTCAGTCCTGGATCTACAGCCTCAGTCTGGGATCTACAGCCTCAGTCTGGGATCTACAGCCTCGGTCTGGGATCTACAGCCTCAGTCCGGGATCTACAGCCTGACATTGAGGAAAATCCCTTTCATTTAATGGCTCATTTGTTTTTGAAGTCCTCACGTGTACTCTGACTCCACTCAAACTATAAATAGAAACCATGTGAGTGCCACTTTAGACGATTCTCATATGGTCAGGGAAAAACTATTTATAGAAGCTGTGAGCTAATGAGCATTTCTAATAGAATATCTCAATAATGTACGGAATAGAGCACTTAAATATATTTTGTCAACAGCAGTCACAAAATCTAAAACAATTATATACAATATGTTTTACCATTTCACCGCAGTGTGTTGCTGGTATGATGCACACTATGTGAGATCAGTAGAAGGGAGGTCAGGTTAATATCTGCATTTAAGGCTATGAACAGAATCCATCTATACTCTATAAAGTGACCTAGAGCAAAGGAGGTGCAGAGCACCAGAGCTGTATCGGACTGTTGTGGTGAAGAGGGAGCAGTGTCTGCAGTCAGAGCTCCGTGTCCCTACCCTCACCTCTGGTCATGAGCTTTGGGTCATGACCGAAAGGACAAGATCATGGATAGAAGTGGTCCTACGTGAGTCTCCTCGGGAGTGGAGCTCCCTTAGAGGAGCTCGGAGTAGAGCCACTGCTTTTCCACTTCGAGAGGAGCCAGTTGAGTTGGCTTGACCATCTTTTTGGGATTCCTGGACACATCTCTGGGGGGGTGTTCTGGGCATGTCCCACCAGGAGAAGACCAGTTAGCATTTTAGTTTTTTAACTGACAGATCTCAGAGAGAGAAAATCAACGACTGTTTTTCTGTTTCTGTGAGGATCTCCTCAGCGATGTATTTTGAGTCCTTTGCTTTTTACTTTGTACACTCACAATTGTGTGTCTTCCTCTGACTCTAAATTGTTAATTAAATATGCTGATGAGACCACCATTATTGGTCTCATCAGTAATAATGATGAATCATCTTACAGAGCAGAGATCTCAGATCTCAACTCTAAGATTCTGCATAACTTATATCGCTGACAATAAAGTATATCTTACCATTAAAAGTTTACTTGTTGGTTCAGTGACTCTGTGGTTTGGTAACATCACAGACAAAGAAAGGAGAGCTCTAAACAAGGTGCTCCGCTCTGCAAAGAGGACTGTGGGCCGTGAGCTTCCTGTTCTGGAGGTTCTTTATAAATCCAGACTTATAAACCGGGCTCTTAGAATAATCAATGACTCTTCTGGCCACCCTGGATAAAGTATGTTCCAGCTTCTTCCTTCTGGCAGAAGATATTGTTTGCTGAGATGCAGGACATCTCGTTACGCTAACAGCTTCTTTCCACAAGCTGTTATCAGTTTAAACAGAGCACTTTAGTGATCTTGCACTTTTATTGAAACTGTTTTGGTCGATCGATCTCATCTCACAGTGTCAATTGTTTGCTGTTCTGTTTGTTCTATTTCTGTACTTTTATCTTGTTCTATTTTATGTACCTGTCTTCTGCACACTGGGGACTTTTACAAATGTATTCCAATGTGGTTGTACTGCAAATGGCGAACAAATGAATCTGAAGCTGAATCTAAATCTGACCAGAGTAAAACCCAGGACACGATGGAGGGACTGTGTCTCTCAGCTAGGAACACATGAGGATTTTCCAGAGGAGAGGGAGGAAGAGTGTGTGGAGAGAGAAGTCTGCTCAGACTTCTGTCCCCAGGACCTGGCAATGGAAAACTGAAAGAAAATGGAACATATTTTACAATAACATTTAAACGTTTAAAGATCTATCCAAACCAGGGGTCTCCAACCTATAGCTCGGGAGTCACCAGTAGCTCGCCACCCCCTTCCAGGTAGCTTGCCAGAAGATTTTGAAATTAACAAATCAAATAATATACTTAATTTTTCAAATTGCATTATTCCTCATCATTATTTATCATTGTAAATGCACTTATTATATGCACTAGTAACAAATGTGTGATGATACATAATGACTGTAGCCGATATCAGACTCATTTACACCCATATGTGGGCGACAGTAGCTCAGTTGGTACAGCATTGATATTTGAGCCAGAAGGTGGTCGTGGGTTCAAGCCCCGCTCAGGACTTTCACCATCAACTCCCACTGTCTGCTGTCGTTGTGTCCTTGGCAAGACACTTAACCTGTGGGAACACCTGATGCCACAGTGGGGCAGCTGCGGCTGTAAAGTGCCAAACTGTGTCCTTAGACAAGACACTTCACCCCCATTGCCTAGAATGAGTCTGGTGTGTGCGTGAATGGTTAGTGGTGGTCAGAGGGGCCAATGGCACATATAGTAAGTTTTTTTTTTTTTTTTATTTATATACCGCCTTTTCACTGCAGATCTGAGTCTCAAAGCGGTTTACAATTGTTAATTTAGGGCATTTGTCTCTCACTCCACACAGAGATGGGAGCGGGGTCACCAGTACAGGAAGCGCATGCCAGAACTATTGGACATATTTTTAGTGGTAGGGGAAACCGGAGTACCCGGAGGAAACCTACGCAGACACGGGGAGAACATGCAAACTCCACTCAGAAAGGCCCTGGTCCGACCGGGATTCGAACCCAGGACCTTCTTGCTGAGAGGCGAGAGTGCTATCCACTCAGCCACCGTGCCGCCCATATTTGCTGCCTCGCTTCTGTCAGTGTGCCCCAGGGCAGCTGTGTCAATAGTAGTAGCGCAATAAAAGCGCAATATAAAACCGATGCATTATTATCATAATAATGCATCGGTTTTATATAGCGCTTTTCTGGACACTCAAAGACGCTTCACATCATTATTCATTCACTCCATACACGGTGGTGATAAACTACTACTGTAGCCACAGCTGCCCTGGGGCACACTGACAGAAGCAAGGCAACCAGTATGTGCCCCTCCGACCACCACCAACCATTCACGCACACACTAGAATCATTCTAGGTAATGGGGATGAAGTGTGTTGCCTAAGGACACAACGGCAGTTTGGCACTTTACAGCCGCAGCCGCCCCACTGTGGCTGGTGTTCCCAGAGGTTAAGTGTCTTGCCAAGGACACAACGACAGTAGTCAGTGGGAGTCGATGGTGAAAGTCCTGAGCGACCTTCTGGCTCAAAGGCCAACGCTCTACCAACTGAGCTACTGCCGCTCAGTTGGTATATCACAATTAAAACGATTGCAGAGACCTGATGTAAATGACCTTTATACAGTGGCACTATACCACTATTTGCCAACAGAGGGCAGCAAAAACCTTTTCATAACAACTTCATTTCATGCTCCTGTTTCAACACCAGAGGGCGTCAGAGACCAACATGCCACCATCACGTATGCTTTCAAAACGTTATTATGAGACTCACACACGTGCGCAGCCGAACTCCCAAGTTTATGCCTCAGTTGTATTCTGACATATTCAAATAACATGGCTTTTACGAGAACAGCCATGGAAAATATAAATAAGTGATAGAAGATACTTGGTCACGAGCCGTATCACCTCGGGCTGTACGGATTAGTGACGCCAGTCAATCTGGGCTGCATCCAAATTCATAAAAAATATATACTTATCTTTCCTTCTCCTTTGAAGGAAACCTTTAGCAGACACGACTCTCAAAAGGTCAAGTTTAAAAGACAAAGAAATTCACATCTTTCACAATCAAATTGCGAAAGAGTTTTCTTCAAATGATATAGACATTACAACAGACAGTTTGTGAGGGAGAATGAGGACATACAGTACATTTACAAACACATACATACATTTATGCACACTACAGTGTTGGGTTTACAGTGTTACAAAAGAAATGTAATTACTGTAATTTATTGCTTTTTGCGGTTATGAAAAATAAGCTACATCTAACTTCAACCGAACATTTAATTTTAAAAATAATATAAATTGTATTTTTTCTTTTAATTACACTTTGCCACCACAAGATCTGTGCCAATAGTATCCACCTAGAAGTGTGTTTTCCTTACAGGTAGAAGATGGCTGAAGCTGAAGTAGAATCAGGCACTACCTTAGACACTATTACTGTTTGAAGATGGACATACTCCCATTATATAGAGTTTGTTGGAGACAAAGATGTGTGGAACATTACAATAAGTGCACTTTATGTGCAAAACCAAAAGCTCTATCAACTTCTTGTAATAGCATAATAAGCTGCATTTAGCATTTAGATATATTTTTGGTGAAAGTAATGCAGTAGTAGTATAATTCTTTACAATTCCGAGAGAGTGATATTGTAGTGTAATAATAAATAAATAAATAAACAGATAGCAAGTAATGCATTATGTCCTTGAAGTACAGTAACTTGCCCAACACTGCACATACATATATACATGGCATTATTCTTTCCCCCAGGGGTGATACACGGGGGTGATACACGGGGGTGATACACAGGGGTGATAAACTACTACTGTAGCCACAGCTGCCCTGGGGCACACTGACAGAAGCGAGGCAACCAGTATGAGCCACTGGCCGCTCCCACCACCACCAATCATTCACACACACACCAGACTCATTCTAAAAAATGTGCTTGAAGTGTCTTACCTAAGGACACAAGGGCAGCTTGGCACAATACAGCCGCGGCCGCCCCAGTGAGGCACCTGGTGTTCCCAGAGGTTAAGTGCCTTGCCAAGGACACAACGACAGCAGACAGCAGTGGGAGTCGGCGGAGAAAGTTTTGTGGTGGGCTTTAACGCACAACCTCCAGGCTCAAAGGCCAATGCTCTACCAACTGAGCCACTATCACCCAACACACACATATACATTCACATCCACATACACTCACAACATTCACATATATAAACTGTGTGTATAGAAAGCATTGATAGATACCGACAGTAAAACCAATGGAGACAAAAGTAGAAACTAGTTTGAAAATATAATGCTTTATTTTACATAATTGATGACCAATATATTTAAATCTATCTTACTGGAGCAGAGCAGAGTAGTGTAGAGAAGTGTAGAGTTGAGTAGAGTAGATTAGAGAAAAGTATAGTAGAGTCGAGTAGGGTAGCGCAGAGTGATGTCACCCAAAGCGCTTTCCAATGTTCCGAGTTCAGAGATTGTTCCATTCTCTCCGCACGGTGATGATGGAAGCAGGAACCGAACACACTGACTCACTCACTCACTACATTCACACCTATTGTGCATGTTTTTTTGAGGTAGGGGAAACCGGAGCACCCGGAGGAAACCTACACAGACACGGGGAGAACATGCAAACTTAACTCAGAAAGAATAGAGTAGAGTAGAGTAGAGTATGGTAGAGTAGAATAGAGCAGAGTAGAGCAGAGTAGAGTAGAGTTGGGCTGGTGAAATCGGGGTTTTAAATCATACAAACTTTCATCTTTTTATCCGTCGACAGCGACAAAGTAACTAACTCATTATCAGGAATAGGAGTAGAAAGTCCGGATATCAGGAAAGAAACACATGAGTTACAGTTAGTTCCACTCCTCCTCTGACAGGTTATTTCCTTCACATCAATAGTCGTAATAAACACATAAGGAAGAAAAGTGTTCCGATTAGGCGAAGGAGGTAATATAAGTGGACATTTCGGACGAGGCCTCTGAGTTATCGCGAGACTGCTCTGCTTCTCGCACTGATATAAGCTCTCGCCCACACTTCGCCCTTTCGTTCGTCCTCAGTGCAGGATAACGTCACTATCCTCTTTTTAATCCACATTTTTAACCAGTCACTTTACCAATCTCCTCAGCCAGCTCCTGTGCTCTGGTGTACGACTCAACAGCGGGTTTTAACAGTAAGTTTATCCTCTGTGGACATGTTTTTTTAGCACATATACGTAATTTTTAGCCATCTTTGCTGTGCTAAGCTAGGCTACCCGGCTTTACAGACTCCGACCTCTGCTAACTTACTAAACTATGATTTTGATTTTTTTTTTCTGATATCAGGTGTTAAACCCCACACATGATATCAGCCTGCTGCTACCTTGTGGTTCGTCCTTGGAAATATATTGTATCGTGACTACATTGTGTAACTTAACTACAGCTGGATGTTATCAAACCTTTATAATACACCTTCACACCTGTTTATTTGTGTTTGCATCATATTACACATTTATAACAATGAGCTACGGGTCATGCATTACACCCTTTTCTTATTATTCTTTTTTGGTCAAATCGTAATTGAAATGAAAGGGTGATAATACAGGTTTTGGTTTTTTGCACCTATGCAGTATGTAATAAGGGGAGCAGTGTAGAATGGTTTGATTCTCTGATCTGTTTTTGGCGAATCTACAACTTAGTCCTCCCGAGGCGACTTCTGTTGCTTTAGAGCTGTACACTAATGGACTGAATTAGAGTAGAGTAGAATATTATAAAAGGACATGAGAAACATTTGATCACCACTTTCTTTTTATTGGACACTATTTGGGAAGCCAAAGACCATTCTTCTGACTTTGCGAAATGACCAAAGAAGAAATTGCTTTGATATTTGTCAATAGAGCAAATCTATTGAGCCATAATTTAAGCAGAATTGCCTTTTATTTCGAATATAAAAACATGTGACATTGATACTATTACAATTGTGTCTAATCAGATTTCTTTTTATTGCCATTGGCAACAGGAAGTCACAAACTAGGAATTTCCTTTGCCTTTCATTTGTATAAATAATGTCTTCAAATTACTACTTACAGACACCAATAGAGATTTGGCAGTGCAGTAAAGTAACAGCAGTATGTATTGTGTAGTGTCGGTAAAGAGCAGGGGTAAGTGGAGGGTGTATGATATAGTTACAAGCTGGTTCTTCTTTTTCTGCTTACTCTTCGCCAGACCGTTTGCCCCATTCTGTTACTGGAGTTTCGACCTTCCTCGATGACTCAAAATGGAAGCTATTGCGTGTCTGGAAATGTTTATGGAGTGATGTGAATCTGTGCGTAATGTGTGATTGTGAAACTTTGCTTGATCCTGTAGTGCGTCTGTTATTGTTTGAGTGAGGGCTCTGTATCCGGGCCACACACTCCCTCTGACCTGGGAACAGCAGGAGACTTTAAACTTTGTTTCCGTCTCGTGTCACGCTCATAGACTGTATGTCACGCTATGTATTTGTACAGGGTAAACGGAGTGACCTCAGATCAGTGGAATTCCTCAAAGCTGTTAAGGGCAGGTTGGGACGGTTATCAGTTGTTGTAATAGAAAAGAGGGGAAAAGTCAGATTAGCAAGACTCTTGATTGTTTTTAATATAAAACTTTGAGAATGACTTGACCAGAGATTGAAAGAGAGGTGCACAAATACATTGAATTGACTAAAATAACTGGTTAGCGCCGCGGTGTACGTCCACACAAAGACACGTGATGAAACTTAACCCGGATTCGAAACTGGACTGGAACTAAATCCGGCGCAGCCCAGTATGATCTTGATACGAAATGTGTTGACTACTATTGAGCTATGAAAGCTATTTCATGTTTTTCTGATACACCTGTCTTTTTAAACATGTTCAGGAAATATGGGAGAGGGTGAGAGAGATCAATTTCAAAGAATTGTCAAAAATGCATGTGAAAACTGGTGGTCGAGACTGTTTTGGGAGCGAGAAGATGTATTTATTCGTTTTAATTTCAAATACAGTTGATAATAATAAAGATAATTCCCAGTGCTGCTTGTATCATTGTGACATTTCCTTCTTACCTCCTGTTCTCTCAGATATCTGGACAATCATCAGTGATGGACGTGATCATTCGCCGCTGCCCGTTCTTGGCTCGCGTGCCTCAGGCCTTCATGCAGCAGCCCAAGAAGTCTCTTGTGGTCTATGCTCAGAAATGTCCCATCATGATGGAACTGGCCTCCAAACCCATGGCCCCTCAGATGGCCCGCGCCCTCTGCTCCTCCTCCTCCTCCTCCTCCCAGAGAATCAGCGATACTAGCCGTACTGAAGGTGCGACTGGATTTGGTCCTTCTTTTGTTTACACAACAAAAACGCCAATTGTGACATATTAGGAAAGTGCCATGATACTGTCTGATAGTTTGGGATTTGGCAACTCAGACTATGCTCAAATGTAGCAAGTTTATTTGCATAGCACAGTTCATACAATGTTCTTAACAAAACTAAGAAAGAAACATTAAAATCATTAAAAAAAATCACAGGGCATTAAAAAGAGTGAAAACAAAATCCTTCAGTTGTCGCAGCAAAAGTGTTTAAATCTGGATTTGAACACTGTCAGAGTAGACGCCTATCTCACATTTTCAGGAAGACTACATTGATCTGAAACGCAGTTTGTTTTGTTTCAAGGGGACAGTTCAGACAGTTGTTTTAAATATGTTATTACACGCAGAACCCACAGCTGCTTCATATTTGTGTTTCTGTTCCTACAGGAAGTAAACATGCAGCGGAGATGGCTCCTCACCCACTGCCAGCCTCAGGGCAGGCCAAGGCATCCAAATGCCCCTTTCTGGCTGCTGAGATGGGGCAGAAGAACAGCAGCGTGGTCCGGGAACTCGGGATGGAGTTCCAGGAGGACGTCCAAGAAGTGCGCACCTTGAAGAAAGGTGAGGGATCATTAAAAATCAAAGATGTGTGTTTTAATCTCATCAACCTTAATGGTTCTGTTCGCAGATATGTCACAGCTGAAGCCGGAGGGTCAAATGAACCTGATGAAGACTCTCCTAACCCAGAGACCCAAGAAAGTGTCTCATCTGCTCCAGGACAATCTGCCAGGTAAACGGAGGGAGGGAGGGAGAGAGGGAGGCCGGAGGGAGAGGGACTTTGTTGTTAATCCATGTTGTTTCTGCTGAGAGAGGACCGATAGAGAATTGTCCTTGTGTTTAAAGACACATCTGGAGAGGTCATGGTGCTCAGGCCTTTGTGACCATGGACTGTCCGGCTCCCACTGAGTTATTCCCTAAAAGTCTTTTATCAGAAGGAAAAGGCCTCAAACTTCAAAAAGAGTCGCCCCATTCAAAAGGGTGGAGCCATCTAATCTCTCATGCTTCTTTAGATGTTGGTCTCATGCTTTTATCACTAAAGTTGGAGGAGGTTAGGTCTGTACTACGCTCTGCTCAATTCTGCTTTACTTCCATTGGCCCTATTTAATAAATACCAGGTCCTTCTCTGCTCCCTTTCTGCTCTCTATAAGGTAGCAGATACTAAAATGTAATGGAAACTAGAGTAAGTTTTGACCAGGTAGACTAGAGTAGAAGCAGACGGTTAGGGGTTTGGATGCACGTGACAAAAGTAATCATTCTAACATAAGTAAGTAACATTTCCTTTCTTCGACAGCTTCCCCAATCCATTACGACCAGTTCTTTGAGAAGAAGCTGGAGGAGAAGAGGAGCGACCACACGTACCGCGTCTTCAAGACCGTGAACCGCTTGGCTCAGGAGTTCCCGATGGCCGACGACTTCAGCACCTCCCTGGACGACAAGAGGGAGGTGTCCGTCTGGTGCAGCAACGACTACCTGGGCATGAGCCGGCACCCGCGGGTCCTCCAGAGCATCGTGTAAGCATTATGTGTGGAATTTGGTTAGGATAAAGAGAGGATATGGTCCATGTACAGTACCTGGACTGTTGGGCGCCTGTGCATAACCTGGAACCAGAAGCTCTCCCACATAGAGTATATAAAGAGTGTGACATCACCATAGTGTTGGCCTTATTGCAGCAGAGGCTGTGAACATAGGCTACCTGGAGCCAATATCTTTTATAGAGGTGTTCGTTTTGGCGGTGTTGGCTTCTATCACTAGTTTTATGGTCTCTTTCTCTCTGGCCTCATTCTCTTGCTCTCTCCTTCTAGTCTCTGGTTCCTGGCTCTAATGCAGTTTGCTTCTCAGACTAGTTTCCACATGCATGTATTTGAGTTCAGCTTTTACGGATGGAAAAGCCAAGGAGAGAACTATCCTCACTCAGCCAATCAGCTCTCAGCCCTAAGCGTCAAATGGTGACCCCATAACCTGTTGTTTGTCACCAAGTCTCTGGAAAGATCCTACTTGTTGTGTTCCACTTGAGAGACTCTGATAATTGTCCTTCACCCGACACCTCTGTACCTGCTGGAGTACGATTTCAATCTTTCCACTTGCACCTCTCGTCTTCTTAGGGCGGTATTTTTCTGTTTCCCGAGGGCAGCAGTAACACTCCCTCGTCCAGGGTGGTGTCTATAATGGCCTGCTTCATTAAAAATGCATTTCAATACATCAGTGAATAAAACTAATTACCCACTGGGCCCTGCGTGACACCTCTGGGCATTAATTGGCCGTTTGGTTTGTTTACATAAATATTTTAGCTTTTTCAATTTAAAGATCAGCAGTATTTAATATAGTTGTCATTTTATCCTCCTCTCATGCCTGAAAAATGACTAATTTCTCAAATTTTAGACTCACTCTGCCCCTTTGTTTTCAGGGGCACGTTGAACCGGCATGGATCGGGGGCGGGTGGGACCAGGAACATCTCTGGTACCAGTAAGTACCATGTGGAGCTGGAGCAGGAGCTGGCCGACCTCCACAACAAGGACGCAGCGCTACTTTTCACCTCCTGCTTTGTGGCCAACGACTCCACGCTCTTCACCCTCGCCAAGATGCTGCCAGGTACGACCGGATTCCCAATCATGAAACTGGATATTGGATTCATCTGGCTAAATGTTTGGTTATTGGGAGAACATTTTGAAAGAATCCTCTACAGTTTAAAAACACGTACATAAGGAATATCCTCTAGATCTGGTCCTAAAGAGCAGCTCCCTGGGCTCTCTCTGGTCAGTCTCTCTCGATCTCTCTGGTCTCTCCCTTTTTTACAGTGTTGTGAGATCATAGTGACAACTCATAACAACACACTGCTCGTGGTAGACACACGTACAACACAAATTTTGACTCTTAAATGAGTCTTGTGGCAAAATTGGACTGAAAAACGCATGGTCTGCTCACAATCAAGCAGCAACACCACATCAGTTAATATGGTCCATGTATGGTTGGATTTTATGTTTTTGTCTATGTTCTAATCTCTTTATGTCGAGTTTAACCAGAGTGCACATCCTTCTCTGCTGCATGACCGCTTCATCTTTCTCGCTTCGCCAACGATAACCATTATTTTTCTCCTCCACTTGTTATCCAGGCTGCGAGATTTACTCTGACGCCGGGAATCACGCCTCCATGATCCAGGGCATCAGGAACAGCGGGGCCAAGAAGTTCATTTTCAGACACAACGACGTGGATCATCTGAGGGAGCAGCTGCAGAAGGGAGACCCCACCAAACCAAAGATTGTGGCCTTCGAGACTGTGCACTCCATGGATGGTCAGTACCAGAGATGCCTAGACCAGACCTGTGTCAGCCCTGGACCAACGGCACAATTGGGATTTCAATTTTTGTAAAGGGCTGGGAGATTTGGGAAACAAATCATTACTTATTTTTAGTTTTTCTTCAAATACTTAAACTAGTTCCTCAAAGTTGTACAAAACTATTGCTATGACTCCAAATGCTTCACTTCCCCTTCCGCAACCACAACAGAAGGGGGGCATTACAAAGTTGCAAAGAAAGATCAGAGAATCAAACTTTTATTATTACTTTTCCTGTGTTTAAATTAAAAAGCCATTGGTACATAGGGAGCAGGGTGACCACTGTCAAAATGTTAATAATTGTGCAGAAAGGTCTCAGATCATCACTATCATTGAGAGGGATTCACTTTGTGTCTGAGGCTATAGACCCAGGACTGAGGCAGTCTTTTGACCTGCCATACCAGAGTTAACTGTTTATGTTGGTCTATTTTTATCACATATAACCCTCAGATCTTCATTTGATTTAGATTATAATTATGTTGTTTCTGACAGGCGCTGTGTGTCCACTGGAGGAGATGTGTGACGTGGCCCATGAGTTTGGAGCCATCACGTTTGTGGATGAAGTTCACGCCGTGGGGCTGTATGGCGCCCGAGGAGGAGGCATCGGAGACCGGGACGGAGTTATGCACAAGATGGACATCATATCTGGCACACTGGGTCAGTACAAGCATCGTTTTAAACGGTACAGAGAGGGGGAGAAAAAGCAGACACTAGAGATAAATGCTCAGAAAGAAGGTCCTGGGTTTGAATCCCTGGCGTAACTGGGTCTTTCTGAGTTTGCATGATGTCCCTGTGTCTGTAGGTTTCCTGCATGAGCTCTGGTTTTCCCTTAAGTTAAAACATGATCAACAGGCCAAATCCTACTGGCATGCTGTACTACTGGTCTCTCTGGTCTCTCCTTGTGATACAGCGACCACTGCTCCTGACAGGGGCCTTTGCTGCTTTCTTCTTCTTCTTAACCTTTGTTTAGCCAAATATTCTCTCACATTCTGGAACAAATGACCATCATTACGGTTGAATGCCCTTCACTATTGTCATATTTTAAAATTGTGTAAATAAACACTACTATGCACAGTGGGCTTTAAACCCAGAGTCCACGTGATAAACCTGTTATAATCACATTGCCCTTTGTCGGGAGCCAGGTCCGTGCTGTTGCCATAGAGACCGCGGATTTGTCTGCTCCGATTCAATTACGCAGCAAACGTCAAGCTAAGACCGTGTATTCAGGCCAGACCTCTGCTCGTCCAATCCGAGCAGCAGATAAACACACCCTGTGTCAAAAGACAGCAGTTGTAATGTGATGTCACTATAATGTCCTCATGTACTTTAGTAATGACTGCTTTAAATATTGGAATGATTCATGCATCGGTTAAAGTTATAAATGCTATTTCTGTCACATCTATGAATAACTCATAAAAAATATCTAATTGCCAACTCAATCATTAGCATTAACATTGACTGTTTATTTTCGGCCTTTCTAAATGAAGAGGGGAAGGGGCCAATTTAAATATCATCATCTTTGTCCTTCTCTCCACAGGGAAGGCCTTTGGCTGCGTGGGTGGGTACATTGCTAGCACCGCCGCCCTGGTGGACATTGTGCGCTCCTACGCTGCTGGCTTCATCTTCACCACGTCTCTGCCTCCGATGCTGCTGGCCGGAGCACGTCAATCCATTCAGGTCCTGAAGAGCGAGGAGGGGCGAACGCTGAGGCGGAAGCACCAGCGGAACGTCAAGCTGCTGCGACAGATGCTCATGGACTCTGGACTTCCGGTCGTTCACTGCCCGAGTCACATCATCCCTGTCAGGGTGAGTCTGAGGCTCCCACTTTTCGAGAACTCACTTGAACTCTCTCAATTCGAGAACTCCCTTGAACTCTCTCAATTCGAGAACTCCCTTGAACTCTCTCAATTCGAGAACTCCCTTGAACTCTCTCAATTCGAGAACTCCCTTGAACTCTCTCAATTCGAGAACTCCCTTGAACTCTCTCAATTCGAGAACTCCCTTGAACTCTCTCAATTCGAGAACTCCCTTGAACTCTCTCAATTCGAGAACTCCCTTGAACTCTCTCAATTCGAGAACTCCCTTGAACTCTCTCAATTCGAGAACTCCCTTGAACTCTTTCAATTCGAGAACTCCCTTGAACTCTGGCAGCTTATCGGCTTGCACGTTCGCTTATGTCATAAAACTGATAACATTAGAGCATGGTTAGTTTGCAATAAGTTTGATTACAATATGATTCACAAGTGAATGATTGTCTGAGTTCAACATTTAACCTTGTTTTGAATCTGACTACAGCTGATAACAGACTCACGCTACCGTTTGTAGGTTTAACTTCCCGTTTTTTTTGTATTCCTAGAACAGCTTCCTCCTTCATAAATAGTAAATATATTTAATATTTATACATACATATGTGCGTGTAATGGCAAATAAATGAATCTGATATCCAGACACACAAACACACACACACACACAATTCCTGTCTCATATTAAAGCCCTGTGCTCCTTATTTTCAGGTTTCTGACGCAGAGAAAAACACTGAAGTGTGCGACCTGATGATGAGCCAGCACAACATCTATGTCCAGGCCATAAACTACCCCACCGTTGCTCGCGGTAATGAGCTTCTGCGCATTGCCCCCACGCCACATCACACCCCCGAGATGATGAAGTACTTTGTTGGTGAGAAACATTCTACTGTTCACATAAACCACAGCTGATTGAGCAGTGCCCACATTCTGTCCTGCACTCTGAGAGATGCAATAAACTGTATACAGATGGACAATGTTAACCTGCTCGCTTAATGCAGCCAATGGAAGTGCTCGTTCTGGCTCCTATTGACTTGTTTATATTGTGATATTGTCTTTGTAAATCCATATATGAGCCATATAAGGATTGACCAATACAATTCCTTCATTTGTGGGGGAAACTCCAGCTTGCCTTTGCAACAGTCTTACGTCTGCCCTATTACAGTGCTAAGCTTGGCTTGGCTAAGGAAATTGGCTCCAGCTAGCTTCTGTTCAAATGAACCTTTTTTGCATTCTGGACAAAGACCAGGGCAAGAGATCAGTGACTGAAGTAAACTGTTTAGTAGAATTAATGGGTCACTTGCAGTGATGTCTCACTGGTCTCACACTCTTCTGTGCTCTGCAGATTGTCTGGTCGAGTCCTGGAGGGCGGTGGGTCTTGAGCTGAGGCCTCACTCGTCGGCTGAGTGCACGTTCTGTCAGCAGCCTCTTCACTTCGAGTTCATGAGCGAGAGGGAGCGGTCGTACTTTACCGGCCTCAGTCACCCCATCTCAGCCTGTGCCCACTGACCCTGAGGGAGGTCGTAAAAAACCTCTTTCTGGTCTCTCTCACCCCATCTCCCTCTGCACCCACTGACCCCCCCCCACTACCCTCACACTCGTCATTCCTCCCTCACTGTGAGAGGCAGTCTGTCATATTTAAATATTTTATGTCCAGATGTTCTATTATAAACTCAAATAAAACGAGTTGGGTCAATCTGTTGTCTGTGCTTTGTTTCTCTAACATAAAAATGACCTGGGCCATTATGGAAAATGACAAATTGGAAACTTGTTGCATTCCACTATACTCCAAAATAGGAATTTTGCAATGGAACAGTCTTTTATAAAGTAAGATCTTCTATTTGTCCCACAGTGGGGATATTTCAATGTTGCAGCATACGTACAGGACAGTAGTAAGGGGCCAGGGCACATTGGGAGCACACGAAATAAGTAGCTGCTAGGTTTCTTGGGTAGCTGTTAATGCTTCAATAACAGTCCTTCACTTTATATATATATATATAATATATATATATAATGCAAAGTTATACACTACATATAGGGCAGGACATACAGTGGGAATTCTGAAGTTGAGGCATTGCACATGGTTGTAGTATTTACATAATAACACATGACTGACATTTAAAGTTCTCAGCAGTTCTTATTGTACAGTCTGACCTGGGGAATCTCCTTCACACGGCAAAGGGGAATAAGTCTATCACTGAAGCTGCTCTCCAGAGCAGAGAGCGTGTCCTGCAGGGGGTGACAGTCATGGTCCAGCATAGATGTTAGTTTGTCCAGGACCCTCCTGTCCTCCACCTGCTGCACTGTGTCCAGGGAACAGCCCAGGACTGAGCTGGACTTCCTGATGACCTTGTCTTCTTCCTGTCCCTCTCTGTGATGCTGATGCCACCACAGAGTCATAGAAGGTCCTCAGGAGTGGCCCCTGCACTCAAAGACCTGAGCCTCCTCCTCTGGCGCTTCTTTATATGATTGGGGAATGGTATTTGGAGGATTACTGAAATTATTGGAACAATATCTGAACGTTGTAAAGCGCTTTGGGTGACCTTGGTCTGTAAAATGCGCTATATAAATAAACATTACTTACTTACTTAATGCATTTGTGATTAAACTGGGAGAGAAAATAAGTGTGAAGTGTACTTAACTTTCCTTTGAAGGTGAAACTAAACCCAACTACTTCCCTTTTCTCAAAAAGCTTTATATATATATATATACTGTATAAATATATATATATATATATACAGTATACCAATGGCTGGAAAGGGCTGGCCTACAGGACAGCACAGAGGCACTCATTATGGCTGCACAGGAGCAGGCCCTGAGCACCAGAGCGATTAGAGGCCCAGATATACCACACCAGACAAGACCCAAGGTGTCGGTTGTGAAAAGAGGCACCTGAGACGATCCAACACATAACTGCAGGGTGCAAGATGCTGGCAGGGAAGGCCTACATGGAACGCCATAACCAAGTGGCTGGCATAGTGTACAGAAACATCTGTGCAGAGTATGGGCTGGAAACCCCAAGGTCTAAGTGGGAAACTCCTCCAAAGGTGGTGGAGAATGAGTGTGCGAAGATCCTGTGGGACTTCCAGATACAGACCGACCGAATGGTAATGAACCAACCTGACATCGTGGTGGTGGACAAAGGTCAGAGGACAGCCGTGGTGGTGGACGTGGCAATTCCAAGCGATGATAACATCCGGAAAAAGGAACATGAAAAGCTTGAGAAATACCAAGGGCTCAGAGAGGAGCTGGAGAGGGCCTGGAGGGTAAAGGTGACAGTAGTGCCCGTGGTGATCGGTGCACTCGGGGCAGTGACCCCGAAGCTAGAAGAGTGGTTACAGCGGATCCCTGAAACAACCTCGGACATCTCGGTCCAGAAATGTGCAGTGCTAGGAACAGCAAAGATACTGCGTAGAACCCTCAAGCTCCCAGGCCTCTGGTACAGGACCCGAGCTTAGAGAGGGATAACCGCCCGCGGAGGGCCAAAGGTGAGATCTATATATATATTTTTTTGTTATATATATATATACAGTATATATGTACGTATATACATATATATATGCCTCATCATCAATACACAGCCTCCTTTTTGGATCAACTTTTTCTGGTTTCCGTCTTTCTATGACTATGGTCTTGAGGCCAGGGAGAGAGATCCACGGACCAACAGGAGCCAAGACATACCTATTTTTTGTCGAGCAAATTGTCAGATAATTGCATTTCTTGTGCAGAAAGTTCAACATAAACAGCACAATTTTGGGGCCATTTTTGGAAAAAACTGTATTTAAATCTGACCTAGATTTCAGTCAGACTGATTGCTGTGAAACTACAAAAAAGCCTTAATAAAATTATGGCCTAGTTTCCTCTCAGTGTGAAAATCACAGCATTTGTGGCGTTTGATTGCAGTGGTCTACGTAATGAAACTGTCTCCTCTCCATCACTGTTGAGTTTACTGGGTCACATCAAACCAGAATAACCCACTGACCCAGAGTGCTCTCACGTAAATCTACAGACGCAGAGCTCTGTGTTATAAAATCAGAGCAAAAATTGAAAATGGCGGACGAAGAAGACGTGCAAGTTCACCGGTGTCACTCTCAATCCCATAATCCAAGAGAGTATACGTCGCCACGGAAACGCAATGAGCCATGTGTGAAAGATGCTGTGAAAGATGCTGAGACAAAAACATTCACATCATATAAACTCCAAACCAGTTCTTGGCATAAGTTGTCTTCATGTGACATCACAACAGCTGAAACAGCCATGCTAAAAGGAGAATTACTCAGGAGTACAATTTTCAAAAAACACAGTCAAGATGGATGTAGAGCCCGCTATTGGAAATTCATTCGCTGTCCCATTGTCTGTTTGTCGAAACCCTTGTTCAAAAGCCTTAGTCCTGGTTCTTCAGCTCATTCCTGGATCCACAGTCCCGGGTCTACAGCCTCAGTCCTGGGTCTACAGCCTCAACCCCGGACCTACATCATCCGTTCTGGATCTACAACCTCAGTTCTGGGTTTCTGAGTGGTTCCTGTCTGATGCAGGAGGGTCTGAGGACTTTGATGATCAAGGCCATTTATGCAAATTCATTAACAATTATGGACAGTGGACTTTAACATTTTTTTAACAACATACCTCCTGCACTTTTGTCCACCCTAGAACTGGTTGGTCATACAAACTGGGCGTTACATGGTTATCTGGATCCCTGTTGACCAATGGTTCCTACATGTGTTTGTCATCATTGCAATTGCTGCGTTTTAACTATTCTATTCCCTGAACCTTTGTGAGTGAATCCACAACTTTGTGAAGTCCTACGAGACGACTGTTGATGTTGTTGTTAGGGCGCTACATAAATGAACTGAATTGGAATATATTTGAGGAGGAGCCATCACGCTTTATGTCCCTTTGAGCCTCTATGGGGGAAATCTCTAACAGCTGCTGTGTCTTCACCAGACGGCTGCAGATCTAAACCTGGACCGAGAGACTGTGAACACGAGACAGAGCTGTGACTGGAGCTGTGTGAGCGTGACAGGAACATATGCCGCTGATGGCAAAGGGGATGATTGCATTTGTTTCACCTGTCAATATCCTGCAGCGAGAGACCTGTGATAGAGAGACCAGTGATAGAGACAAAAGAGAGCCCATTTGAACATATGTACAAACACACAGGTCACGGCAAAAATAGAGAGACACAACAGCAGAACCCTGTATATCAGTGCTCAAAGAGTCAGTGTGGCTCGATAGTTCATATAGATCCATGGTGTGGCTGCAGGGGTTAGTCTCAACAGGAGCAAAGCAGACTGGTGCTGAAACTGTAGATCTGGGACTGAAACTTTTTTTTCTAATGTATGCTGGGACCTTCTAACCCACCAGTTCAAACACATCTGTTTCTAGGGTGACAAGAGTAACAGTGAAAGTCCTGGTTCTATAATACAGTACTAATAAACAGGATGTAGATCATGAATACAGTGAGAGAGAGACCAGATTTTCCCCACCTTCCCCTTTCCTTTTTGATAAAGAAATAATACATTTTCCCTAACCCTAACACTAACCTTAATCCTTATAAATAGATTACTGACTCATTTACTGTTCCCCTTCCCTCATGTGTTTCACCTGCGTCTCTCTGTGTCTGTGTGTACGTATCCCCTTCCTCATTGGTTCCTGGTCTATTCTCTGTGTTTTTGCCTTGGATCCTGTTCTCTGTTAGGATTTTGTCTGTTAGCTTGTAACCTTGGATTTTCATTTTTTTATTAAATCGTTTTATTTTCCCATCCAGAATTTTGGGTCCTTTACTTTCCAGCCAACGCTTGTTACTTTGCAGAACAAAACCTTGAAATGAATACTGCTTATTGTGAGATCTGTAAAAGTCCTTTGTCCGTCTGGCTCAGAGGGAGAGGACTGGGCGGAACCAGGAACACAGCAGAAACTGTTACTTCTACTTTTAACTTCAAAAACCAAAAAAGAAAAGTTCTGCCTGTGTTTGAAGCTCGAAACTGAGTCTAGTTTGACATGAAGCAAGATTCTTTCTGGAGTCTTTCTATTTACTGAGATCAAGGCTGTGTTGCCATGAGGAGTGTGACATCACCACGGTGGCTGAGTGGATCCCGGTCAAAACAGGGTCTTTCTGAGTGGAGTTTGCATGTTCTCCCCGTGTCTGCGTAGGTTTCCTGCAGGTGCTCCATGCATGCACAAGGTATGTATCTGATGAGTGAGTGAATGGATGGTGTTTGGTCAGAGGCTTTGATGCACCAATGTGTTCAGCGTTCCGCTTCCGTCATCACCGTGTGGAGTGAAATAAACAATATCTGAACTGTGCTTTGGGTGACCTTGGTCTATATAAATTACTTACTTGCTTAAACATAAAATCCATTCCACACATCACAAACAGCTGATATGTCTCCACCAGACGGCTGCAGTTGTGGAGGGCCGGGCCCGTTTTCATGTGGTTAATTTCTTTTTATTTGATTAAGCAAAAATCTACTTCAAACTATTATAAACATATTAAGTTACAAGCCTTT